GAAGAAGCAACCGATGAGCACTCTCGAAATTAGTGGATCCAATTAATTTTACTGTTTACACAATCTTCAAGAAAAGCATGTATGAATTGCAGGTGCTGATCAACTGAGCATCAGCAGATAGGCGCTCTAAGAGGCAATTATGTTACTTCAAGGTCACTGTCACTCACGATTTCATTGGTCCTCTTCCAGAATATTGCTAGGATGTAGACGGCGCAGATGGGTGGGGCAAGATAGGCGGTAACGGCCTGAATGTAATCAAACAGCTCTTCGCTCAGCTGGACAATCGGAATCCAAGCGATGCTGACTCCCACGAGAACAATTATGCATACCCTTAAGGAGAGGAGAAAATGAATGTGGCATGCTGTTTCAAGTCTGATAAGAGTTACAGATTCTAGCCAATTCGTATCGTTTAGATGAAAAAATATATATCAAATCAGTCATTGGTCTGGTCCTTACCTGCCGACAATCATTAATTCGGCATCTCTGCAGTTCGGACGGATCAGCTTCCAGATGTCTACAGTGAAGATTGTGGCGGAGGAGTTGAAAATGCTGGTTAGACTTGATACCAGCGAGGCCATCATCACGGCAATCATGAGGCCACGTGCTCCTGAGGGCAGAATATTAAGGACAAGCGATGGATATGCGATGTCGGAGCATCCAACCGCTTTCCCACAGATTTCTTCGCACAACTCAGCCACACCGCAAGCAACTGTGTCTGAAATATGTAAGAATAACGTATAATTAGCCGACGTCTTCTGCCAAAACCCTGGATAGTCTCTTCGCTGAAAAATAGTTGGTGAATGTGTCTGTCGAAGAGATTGTAATAAAGTTCTATCTTATAAACACTAGTTTCCTTGCTATTTTATGAAAAGTCTTCGATTTCACCCAGAATACTGTCCAAGTCTAACCGAATAAGCCTGCGCGCTGCGAGTCCATGATGAATGCCGGATTCACAGGGTCCCGTAGAGTTTTCAGTAGCAGAGTCCGGGCGGGTTTTAATCGAATTGGTTTGGTTGCGTAAAATATCTCTTAAGTTTCATATTTCGTCTCAAAAGGGGATTTCTTAAAAGAGCGCATTAAACAACATGCATAAAATCAATCAAAAAGGTGCTGGACTTGTGAAGGCGTCTACCGTTTTACATCGTTTGTGAAAGTTTCCTTAATTTTGGCAATTTTATTCACTTACCTGTAAAAAGAATACGAGCGGCCATTCCAGGTACGACCATCAACCATAATGGTAGCATTTTGCAAAGGCAAGCTAGAATGATGCCTCCCCTGGCGTGAACGAGGTTCTTGGCCGCCAGTGTTCGTTGTACAATAACCTGGAAAAGAGATAGAAAGAGAGATCTGGATCTAACTGATCAACAGGGTATATTCTTTCTTGACCTGGTACTGATGGCACACAACGTAAAGCCGTGTTCAGAGTTTGACTGTCAACCCAGTAATTCGATTGGCTATCAGTTGCGATCAAAATATACCTAGTTGATTATGACTAGCGAGCGTCTAGCCTTTGTCGGTTGGTCTATCAAGTGTGGATCTTATTCATTTCTATAAGGCTGAACACAGCTTTCTCTCCTTTATGCGTAAAAAATCCAGATATTTTGATTCTTTTTACTATAATGGCGTTTCATTTCTCTGTTACTTGCCAGATTATGGAAGGCGTGAGTTCAAACGAACGAAATTACTGACGTAAATCAAATATTCACAAGCCGCATAATACAAATGATGAATGAATGAGTACTAATAAGATTAAATGTCAGAGTTCAGCTCGTAAGATTGAAGCTATGCGAATCTTCCATGGTTAAATAAATCAAGCTCGAGGAAACTATTGCATCGTTCATGCAGTTCATGAGGCCCTAGAAACAGGAACTGTTGGGGGTGCACAAAGAAGACTAAAACAAAAGACGAACAACAGGAAAATACAACAGTATGAATATCGAATTATTTAGGTCAGACCGAAATTACGACATGATCTAGATGCCCGCAATCGTCAGACTGAGCTGTAGAATGTAAGTCCCCTTAAAAAAGCACACAGTTCAACTCAAATGAAAACCCCGGAAACCAAATATGAATCAAAGTTGGGTCTACGGTCCAGCCGTGGCGGAGGAACAGGGAATTTTAGTCTCTAATTGGACGCTTGCCCAATTACATTTGTGTTTACTTCATACACTCCTCTTGCGAAATTGTGGGTGCATCCTTAGAATCCCGAGAATCACTCTTAAAAAGTGGGATATCTTGAGGACGTTTTGAGACCTAAACATTCCAGCATTCTTCCCTATATGGATATCTATTTTTCTGAATGAGATTTTCAGGACGTTTGCTTCATACGACAATCGTTCTGTGGAAGCCTGGTGCTTTTTCAAGCATCTCACTAGGGCACGTTTTCCTTACTCTATCACAAGAAGAATTAAAACAAGGTGTTGTCTATGTTTTTATTCGGAATAAAGTCTACGGCATTGGTCTTGTATGTGTTTTTGTGAAGACTGACCCGATAGACCGAAGATGTTTGCTTATAAAAGCTGTATTCCTTTAGACTGACCTCTGCACTAGTCTCAAACTTCTTATACGTGTGTAAATCTCCTCAGAATCCGTATGTGCTCCCCCTCTTCCCATTACTTCTAACCAGCTACATGCTTTGGGGGCCTTCAGCTATGCGCATCTTTTGTTAACTTCAACCTGCAGCTGAACCATGAAGACAGGGTGCTTAGACAAAATCTTGATATTTTAGACGATATGGAAATCAAACCCTCAGACTTCTGTAATATTTGACTGGTAGTAATAGGAATTATACGCATGGGGCATTACGAGGGCAGAGAAGAAAAAGAAAAAGAAATATATCAGATTAAAAAAACAGGAAACAGTAGATAAAATTATTGTAGAAGTCTCCTATATAATAACGATAAAAGGTAAAATAACTGAAAAATAAATCAGAACTTGATAAAATTAATCAACGATCTCAAGCTAAAATAAGGTACTACTACCGATGGTCTCGTATTACAGGAGTATGGGGTGTGGCTTCCGTAGTGAGACCTATACTAGACTGTTATCGATAATTTTCTACCTCTCCCCCAGTTTTGACTTGAGCACTCACTATATTTAAAAGAATGTGTTCCCCTAATTTTGGTGTGTGAAATGTGGGAGAGGCAGGAAACAGACGCAGGTAAAAAATAATTTCAAAGAAGTTTACGTCACTGTTAACAGAACAGGGGAATATATATGTAAGTTCTCAGGAATTAGCAAACTAGTCGGCACTTTTAATACTTACTTGGTCCGTGCACCAGTACCACGTAGAATTCACGCTCAGCCCAAAAATGACGCCCACCCAAGGCAGGTCAGTGCTATCGACTGACTTAAAGAAGTTCATCGCATCACTCGGTGGAATGCTGCATTCGGCGTAGATACCCAAGTTTCGGTCCTCGGGGATAGCCAATTCGCGGATTGCATCTCTTTCCTCTTGGGTACCGTAGAGATCGGGTTTCAAGTTGGAGATATTTGAGGCACTTGCCGTAAATCTCGTACTCTGGTAAGCGCGTGTTGTATTGGGGATTGCGTTCATATATTGAAATACAAGACTGTCGAAACCACCGGTCACTTGTAAACCTTAAAAGAAATAGCAATATTAAGATATCGGAATGCCTAGGTTCTCAAGAACCTGGTCGCTAATTAGTGCTTTCCAACAAGACCCACTCTGCCTGCGGTTATATTTATGCTGACTTACGTATACAAAAATTCTACTGAAAGGTAGATGTTAAAACTGAAAGTGTTTTAAAAAACAATGCATTCAAGAAATCAATCAACACGGGGTGCCAATGATTCAGCAACTTACTCCGTATCATAAGGTATAGTGCGCCACCTATCATAATGAGTGTTTGGGCGAAGTCTGTCCAGATGACCGCAGTAAGTCCGCCTGCAAAGAAAATTAGATGTTGCTTATTAAAATCCATTTTTTGCGGCTTCTTTTTGGCGCTCCTCTAGCATCCCTTTGATATATCTTCGTGCGGCCGTATCCAAAATTGTAAATTCCCTAAGCTACAAATGTGAAGTCAGTGAGTATTTCTTCAGTGCCTTATGCAGGCGGGATTCTTTTTTATTCAAGTTTTCGGACAGAATTGCTCCTATGCCGTCGCCCCGGAATGATACTGGAATAGGAAGGCCCCTTCCCCATGTAGAAGAAATGCTCTTGTGCTACAGTATAGGATGGTTAAATCGTCCCTTGTCTTTCCCCTAACATTAACTTTAACCCTAACCCGGTTAGGACTTTTTTTTAAACTTCACTTTAGCAACAAAAAAAATCACTAAAAAAAGTAAATAAAAAACAAAACTCGGGACTGTCCTTGGAGGTCCTTTTTGCCTTTAACTTTTAACAATAACCCACTTTTACATTTTCAGTAACCCGAATTTCCCTTTTTGCTTTAAATTCCGCCAATATAAGGTTGAGTTTACCTCAGTAGGCAGCAGTGGCCTGAGCAACAGGAGTTTATGTTGATGGATTTGGTTCTACTTAGTACGTTAAGACATATAAAAGTTTCTTTAATTTAGAATTTTTGATCACTTCCAACACAATTAAATAGTCATTCATAATCGCTAACAAAGAATTAAAATTTTAACCAAAAATTACATAGGACAGTTGGACGGGGAGCATAGATATTAAGCTACCCTACAAGACATTTTCATCTAACCAAATAACTAAGCTAGACTAAATAATAAATTACAACAAAATAAGTAGATAGTTATGGACAGAAACTACGATGGTTTTTAGGAGGAGCCCTTACCCCTTATCCTAAGTCTAAAATCTCTGGAATTTAGCGCAAAGACACAAATATTACGCATAGTTTCTGCTTCCAGCTGCCGCTAAAGGGGATCATATAAGCGACTCCCACAGTGTTTTCGGTGAAAGACTAGGTCGAGCTCAATTTCTCGAAAATAACTTTTAAGGGTGCTTCCCGCGTTCGAATGAAGTTAGCTGAAGAGGATTGATTAAGTCTGGCTCCAACAACTGATGTAAGCACTCCTTTTAAATATGATAGATAGATAGAGAACTATATTTTGATGATAATATCAAAATTTTCAGCAAAAAAGTGGCTCCATTCACGGAGAGCAAAAATAGGGTAAATTAAGGGGTCCAAAAAGCCCAAGAGTAAACGTTCAAAGATAAGAAAATACTCAAAGTAAGAAATCGACACGGTTACCACATCGGTTATGGAGACAGGTCTGCCTTCAGCTTCTCAATTTCCGTTTCTTCACACGTGACGTAAATACACGCAGAGTTCGCAGTGTCTAGCAACTGACACCTTACTTGTTGACAAAGTTTTGGACCGCAAATTAGTAACTGCAGTTCTGCCATGAAATATATAAAAAACATTAAGGAACACGACCAGGGGTTCCGTCGCTCCCGCAACTGTGTTATGCAACTTTAAAACTTGACGCCTGTCAGACACTTAGCTATTACGTCTGTATGTTATGCTTCGGCTAAATATGTAGTCGTTTTTTCGTTGTTAACCATCTTCCTCTTCAGAGATCTTACTTACAAAACAGCGAAGAATAAGTCCGCATGCATAAACATTATACGCCCAAAAGGCACTGCTGGGTTATATGTTTGAACTTCACAAGTCCAAGGTACCCATTTAACAATTCCTGATATCAAAAATTAGGTATAAAGTCAGCTGGTAAAGGGGAAACGGTAGGGTTTCCCTATAAGTAACACCATAATTTACAAAATCATCACTCACTACATTAAACTAACATTGATAAAACTAAATAATAAGCTAAAAAGTAAACTAATCTTACCTAAACTAAACTAAAAAATGTAGCAACCTAACAACTAAAGTAAATAATAAACTACAACAAAATAAACAGTTAGTTACACATTATAAACTACGGTTTTGTTTATAAGGAAGATAAACTGACTTCTGATATATTAAAACACTTCTGTTTTTTCAATGTTTTTTAGAAAAAGAAAAGAACATAATGCTCTTGTGGCTTACCCATGATTGTAAACAGAGCTGACATAATAAGGAGCATTATTACCGCAGGATACATGGAGATCTGCATCGAAAGTTGAATGAATACACCACCAGCATAAAGATCGGCCTAAAAAGTCAGTATATGTTATCTGGACGACCACCGCGACTTACCGAAATTTTGGAAAATACGTAAAGGAGGAGAGCAATAACAGCCAAGTAAACTCGAATACGCTGACCGCCAAGACGCTTTCGCAGATATTCCGGCATTGTCACAATCTATGTATTGGTTGGTAACCGTGTTAAAATTAACGATAGACTTACACCTGATACAATGTACACTGGCAGGAAGAGCCATCCCAGCAAAGCAAGAATTAATATGGCCTAGAAGGTTGAGAGTAGAACAACAAGTAATGCCTACATTGAACTCGAAAACGGCGATCGCGATACCAGACGAGGCTCCAGAACCGGCAAGACCGATGAAGTGACCAGAACCGATGTTACTGGCAAACAGGGATGCACCAACCTAGGACAAAGCCTGTCAGAGGACACAAACAAAGAGAGCTTACGGGGATCCAGTGCATTGATCGACCGGCCAGAAAGTAGCCGCCAACACTGCCTCTGTTCCTACATGAAGACTTTAGGAAGTTAGCATGCGATAAGATGGACTTGCCCAAATGCCAACAGCGAATACGATAACAAAGTAGGCGATCAAGACACCCAAATCAGCGCCGTCTAGAACTCCTACAATCTTCTGCATGTCGGATATATGCTTTGGCTTCGCTGAATTTGGTGCTTTTATACCGCGGAGCTACTGACTACTCCCCTAGCGGAGTCACTGTGTATGTGTGCGTGTGTGTTTGGAAAAAAAGAAATGTTAATAGGCCGTTTCTGTTTCTCGCAAACTTGACTCGTTAGAAATGTCACATGTTTTTGCGTTACGTGTTTTAACTTAAGAATGCATTGGGTTGCTTGCCAGAGCGGCTACTGGCTCGCCTTTTAAAATATAAAAAAGATGAACACCGCTAAAGGGGTTTAGCCGCAACGGGTCGGTCCTTCAAAAGCCAACGGGAATTTTTTTCTCTGAGCAATTTTCAGAAGCTGGAGTTAGTTGGTGCGAATTTTGTCAAAATTTATTAACATCTGGTCCCCTATTCATTGAAGGCATCGGGGAAGAAACGCAGAGCCTTTCGTTCTGAGGGACTTTATCGGCATGGTTTATCAGTGTATGTTAACTGTTCATCCCTTGAACCGTTTTTAAACCATAATCTCTATCTTAGTTGGTTCAAATCGTTTTGCTTATGTAGGGTGTCCTAAAATTACTTGCACTGTTTAAAAGTTAGCGCTTCCTGTACAGTATAGATAGAAAAGGAAACGTTACACTTGTAAAAATCACTGTCAAGGGTCTTGGTGGCGTGAATTTCAGAGGGCAAAGGTCGATCTGTAGGTATGATAGAGGCCGAGGTTGCTGAAGCTGTAGGTGTATCTATCAGGACGTTGAAGTATCGGTGGTCACAGTATAAGCGGACGGGTACCCTCACAAAGTAGGACTCTGGAGGACCAAATAGTTCGGGAGAAGGGAAAAGAGGGTTACGACAAATTCCATTGTTAAACCAAGACAAAGCAATAGGGAACCCGCGAAGAAACCGAATGCTAAACGCCTGAAAGTTTCTAAGTCTTGTGTGCACCGGTATTTGCATGAAAGTTTGGATGTTACCGCCTATTACAAAAGGAAAACCCTTACTAACGGAAAAACAAGTCAAAAATGGGATGAACTTCTGTAAGATTGTCAGGAGGGGGCTGTAGACGACTAGAAATAAGTCATCTTCTCCTATGAATCGTCCTATGAACTGTTCTATCTGCCAAGTGCAAAAAGACGTTATTTGGGCGTCAAGTTGTAACATATTTGAGAATGTTGAAGTTCCAAAGGTTAGCCTTATAGTTATGGTGTTGGGAAAGAACATCCTTTGGAGGGCTCTCTGACCTCCACATTGTAGCACAGAGTCACCGAGTGAATGGTGGATATTATAGAGAGGAGATCCTTGGACAAAACCTGTTTGCAAGATTGGAATTAAATAGTGTAATCAGGTTAAAATTTGGGAATAGACTTGGTTCGGACATGCTAAGGAGTATTTCTATGCAGGATGGAGCTACAGCTCACACAGAGGTTGCTGGCAGAGGAAATTTCACATTTCTGGAGGAAAGACATGTGGCCAGCAAATTGTCCTGACTTGAGTCCAATTAAAAATCTGTAGTCAATTCTTGGCGATATGGTTGACGAGAAACTGTCTGTTCCTACTACTGTTGCCATATCGGAGAAATCCCTCTAGTATCTAATTCATTTAATGCCAAGTAGGGCAGAAGCTGTCCTGTAAAGTAAATTTTGAAAGATGTTTTATTTTATAAACTATGAGTGTGTTATTAGGGTGCAAGGTATTTCGGTACATCCCTTAGTAAGCCAGTCGAGGAAAGAGGCTTTTTGTCGTAAAAAACAGTATTTTAATATCAACTGTTACATAATTCGAGAAACTGGAAAATTTCTGGTTTTATTTAGAAAGATCAAATCAAAAATTGTCTTTATGCCAATATGTTAAAAAGTTACCGACTTAGCAGGCCAGTGATGGTGGAACATGCAAAATTTTGTGAAGTCATGCATTTTCATGAGCTTTTTTGTATAAGGAAGTCTTGTGGCAAAAGAAAAAAACATAGCTCCTTACCTTCCATGATATTTCAACCATATCCAATGGTGCGCATGGTGCTTGAAATTACTGTCAAAGTCCTTTCAGTATAATGACACTTTTAGATCAGCAGATCGAGACAAAAAAATTGAAATTTTATCGCATTTTTTGTATTTCGCAAATGGTTAAACCTAATCTGTCCCATAGACACACAAAAGTATTTAGCGCGCCAACGATTCAAAGTACTGTTACCAACTGTCCTTTATAATCCTTCTTTCATTCCCCGCACTCAATCCCATTGTCTCGGCTGCCTGGTGATGTCAAGGTTGGTTGAAAGTATTCAAAGAAAAAGTTTAGCTGTTCTTTCAAGGAGACACGTGCCTGGGATGCCTGCCTTCCAATTTAACTGCTATTTCCGGTCCCACTGCCGTCTCGGTTTAAATACTTTTTAGGAAGATGTGGTCAATTGATGGACCTCCAGTTGGTTACTTTGCACCAACGCGGATTAAAGCGTTCTACCTGCTCAGCCACTAGTTTGCAGCCTACCAATTGAGGTATGGCGTTTTTATCGGTAGAAGAGTATGCACGGGGGTAGTCTAACTGCCTTCGTTCTCTTAATACCCTCCCCCGCCCCTATGGCCTCGTGTTAAAAAGATGCATCAACGCTTTTGGCAGCCTGAACATGGATAAATTGCATGTATTTGTTCTGGCCCGTAATCGGATCAGATAGGAACAGTTTGCAGTCGGTACGAATGCAGACTGGGGCCACGAAACCAAATACTTTGCAATGGCAGAATTTAACCCACCCTTTATCTACTTCCATGAACTCCAATTTTGTCGTCTGCGCTCGCGTATTTGGCCGATTGACGAGCGTCACAGAGTCGACAGTAGCCACTCCAGTCTACGCGTCTCTGGTAGTAACACTTGTCAGGAATTTTAGTGTAATTCACAAGACAATTTAGTGGGCATATGTTTGCTTTCGATAAATCGCCGTCGGACCTTTACATTTACATCGCTATGGCAATAAGTAAACTATGCGAGCAAGTAGAAAATATCTTACGATTCTAGGGTGGTAGAGGAAACCAAATGGCAACTAGTGCCTTCCGATCAGCGTCAGGGGGATTTTGACGACTGTGAAGGGTAATTATATGTTCACGGCTGCATTAGTGGCTTTGGGCCATGGCAACTGCGGCGCCTGTATGAAGTCCTTCTACGCACACGGGACCAGTTTTCGAAATCTGATCGCAGTCGCTTCTGCTGCAGCCAAGAGACGCTGGGAAACCTCTCTGACCTCTATATGATGATCTGTGCCTACCATATGCGCGCAAACAGAGCTGTTTGTGTTCTTCGTTTAGCCTTTTCCTAACCGTGTTCGAAGGAAATTTTCTTGTTCTCTTGGACAAACGTCAGTTTGTGCGACTATTATATTCTTCCCCTACCGGAACAGGAAAAATAATATGCGAAAATATTCGAGGTTCAGTTATAATATTGCTTTCATCATCCCCGGAAGAGGAAGAAGAAGACGGGGCAGTTCCTGAGACCAAGGTGTATTTGACGTTTCGGAAGCATTCTCGCTTCCATCGTCAGAGCCTAGTGTGGAGTGAGTCTATCTAAACGTTAGCTGTGCCTGATGCCCGCGTGTCGATCGATTGTGCCGATCGATTGCTGGCGGCTGGAGGCATACAAATGACTTGACACACCTCATGGAGGTGCCCGCGAGGGCGCGAACAATT